AATACAGATTGTGTCAAAGCAGCTTTACAGTATTAAATAGGTAAAATAGTGTGTAATAATGCAAAACCGTAAACACTCAATGTTCAGTTAAAGTCAGTTAATTCTCCGTCTCAGCGCTGTGTTTATTCAGTCGGAAAGCGCAGTCGCTGCAGATGCTGACGGGAGGAGCGGAGAGCTGCAGCGAGCTGATTGGCTGGGGTGCTCTGGCGGTTGGCACGGCAACGGGAGCATGCGTCACGGCGACACAGAGGGGCGTGGTCCGGTGGCCAGCATCACCGCTCTCACACCACAGCGTACAGATCCAGCTGTGCTTCTAAAGGGCATTTTCAAATCACACCACAATACAACACACACCTCTATTTAGAGGCTCATTAAGAGTGTGAAGCGTCCGCTGTTCTCCAGCCGCTCTCTCTGTTCAGCTGCAGACGAGACTTTAAAAACTCGAACAGCAGCCGCTCGGTGGAGCCTTCAGTGCTTCATCACGCCTAACGTCCTTAAATTCACTCTGACACAGCGCTGCGCTCTAACTGCTGTAAGTGCACACTGTGAATAATGAGAAAGATTGCATAAATATTGATGTGTGTGGGTTTTAACATAAATTATTCATTCATAATATTTCTTTGACTTAACTCTTCAGTTAGGTGGACTGTAAAATGTTGTACTGTAATTTCACAAATTATTTGATTATATGGCAAAACATTTTAAAGTAATGTATATTTAATTGAAAAAAGCTGCTTTATTGCCTTTTCTTTCTAAAAAAATAATAATAAAATATTATGTAAAAGTGCTTACAGCAAAACTTATTTTATTTTAATTAAAGTTTATTAATGAGTTGTTTTTTTCTTGATATCAGGACCGTTTCACACAGATATTTTTGACTTCGTCTCCCTAAAATACCAAAATAAATTTTAATTAAGAGATTCATGAAAGAAGGTTATTCAGCTCTTTATATGTAATAATTTGTATTAGATTCTTCAATCTAGACAAAAAAAAGTTATTTGTAGAGAAAATTTATTTTTTGTACAGTTTAAGCTAAAAAAAAATTCAATATAACGTTCTTTTTCTTCGCAGCCGAGTGCTAAAGTCAGTCAGGACACTCTGAATGAGCTGCTCCGGCCCAGTGTGGATTACGTGCGGCACAAGAAGTTCCGGTCGGGCAATTACCCATCATCCCTCAGCAACGAGACGGACAGACTGGTGCACTGGTGTCACGGAGCTCCTGGAGTGCTGCATATGCTCATCATGACTCATAAAGTGAGACACACACACTCTTTCTCACGCACGCTCGCTCGCTCGCTCTCTCACACACTCTCACTCACTCACTCACTCTCACACTCACTCACTTTCACTCACACTCACTCACTCTCACTCTCACACTCACTCACTCTCACTCACTCACACACACAAACTCTCACATTCACTCTCACACTCTCACTCTCTCACACACTCTCACTCACTCACACTCACACACTCTCACATTCTCACATTCACTCTCACTCTCACACTCACACTCACACACTCTCACATTCACTCTCACACTCTCACATTCACTCTCACACACTCACTCACTCACTCACACTCACACACACTCTCACTCACTCACTCTCACACTCACTCTCACTCACTCTCACTCACTCTCACATTCTCTCTCACACTCACTCTCTCACTCACTCACTCTCACACTCACTCTCACTCACTCTCATTCACTCTCACATTCACTCTCACACTCACTCTCTCACTCACTCTCTCACTCACTCACTCTCACACTCACACTCACTCACTCTCACACTCACACACTCTCACTCACACACTCTCACATTCACTCACACACTCACTCTCACACTCACACTCACTCACTCTCACTCACTCACTCACTCTCACACTCACTCTCACTCTCACACTCACTCACTCACTCTCACACTCACTCTCACTCTCACACTCACTCACTCACTCTCACACTCACTCTCACTCTCACACTCACTCACTCACTCTCACACTCACTCTCACTCTCACACTCACTCACTCACTCTCACACTCACTCTCACTCTCACACTCACTCACTCACTCTCACACTCACTCTCACATTCACTCTCACACTCACTCTCTCACTCACTCACTCTCACTCACACTCGCTCTCACGCTCTCACACTCACTCACTCACACACACTCACTCTCACACTCTCACACTCACTCACTCACACACACTCACTCTCACACTCTCACACTCACTCACTCACTCACACTCACTCACTCTCACACTCACACCCTCTCACTCACTCTC